GAGAGACAACAAATAGATTACGTATTAAACCTGAAGAAGTTAAAAATGTTAATTAAAATTTCTAACTAATAATTAGTAAATTTTGTTAGCTTTCCTAGACAAGTGTAGGTAATTTAAAATATATTTCAACATCTATATTGTTAAAATTAACTTTGCAATTATAAACTATCTACCTATCTTCATTATATCTAGCAAAATTCTTAATATAAATCATGTGTCTGAAAACACCACTAGATCAGTTCCAATTCTAATCGCTTTCGTTGCATGTATCAATATTGTTCTATTAGTTAAACATTTTCACAGGTATTGTTTAGATCTTTTACATCTTTTAACCATATTTATATCCCTGTTCTTCCTGGTTCTATTGTAATAATGGCAAACTCACCGATTCTCGTTTCATACTTGTTCCCTAAAGTGATTCGACCATCTATGTAGTTCTAGCTCGAGGCTATTATTTCTATTACGAATATCTCCTTTTAGTTGTAGTCCCCATAAGTTTTAAGAATTTTCATTTCCACTATAGAACTGATCATTTATCTGCTATTTATGTAGATAGTATCGCATAGCATTACTATGATATAAACAATAAACGTTCATTCATGAAGATCCAATATGCTTCACGTTTTCATTTTTATATTTTCTTTCATAAAAAATCAAATTATGGGTGAGTTGCCCCGAAGGACAATATATGCGAAATGAATAGAAGAAGAACTAATCAAATTATAGGTTAGATATGTCAAATTATCCCGCTATAATTTGCCCAAATCGGCCAGCAGTTTTGTATTTCCGGTCTCCTTGATGGAACGGATTTTTAGTATGTCAAATATAGCCTATATCCTATCCAGTAAAATAATACAGATCAGTGGTTCAAACTCCAGGGGCTTAATTCCTGACGGCGTTCGTCATCGTCTAGCATGCGGTGACGTATGCGAGAAGAAAAATGGTATTCTTGGAAGCCTTTGCCGTATGCGAGTGATCCCGCATGCGTCGCTTGGCGAATGATTTACAACGAACGGTCTTGACCATTCGACAACCTTATCTCGCATGCTGTAACTATGGGTATCCAAGCATGTAATTGTCACTGTTCCACAGATTTAATATAGAATATAATTATTATTATTCTTCCTAGTTTATTTTTTAAGTCCGATCTTTTAACCTCTGAGTAAAGTTGAAAGTAACTATACTTGCTGATTAAACTATAGGGCTATTGTTTGTTAATCTGTTAAGTAAACCTACATGCAACTTTACTCAGAGGTGAAAAGATCGGCCCATAATGAATTTTTTATAATTGTCAAGTGTTCATTAGTCATAATATTGTTACACTACACCCTGCAGTGGCCTGAGTCCGTTATAGGAAACGTACAAAAATACAAAAAGAAGTGCAATGTCACCCATCACACTATAGTGTGCTGCGATCGTCATAAGTACAAGCAGGAGTAAAAGAAAATAGAAATGTCTGGAAACGTCATTACTTGTTAAGAAAATTCTAGGCATTTCGAGAAGGTTCGAAGCAAGCTATATAAGCCAAGGATCCTGACGTCAGTTTTCAGTTTTATACGTTAATGTTATCCGTTGTGTTGTTATTGTAAAAGTTGAGTTGAAGTTGAAATAAATTGAGATACCAAAAACCTGTGTAACAATATCATTATCTTTACTTAGTTATTGTATTTACAAGTGTACATTTCTTATAAAATGGACGATATAGAGTAATTTGACCTCATACAATTAATACAAAATATTGAAGAGGCACCATTAGATGCAGAATTACGACCTCTCAATTACACCGAGCGGCAGGATCCATTTTTGTTACCTGATAGACAGTTTATAAAAATATTTTGCTAATTATAAAGTTTTCTGTTCATTGTCAATCTCTATTTCCAAATACCTACTCAAATTTATTTTAATTAAAGAAACTACTAATTTGACACAGGTTATTTTTTTACATTTTTTAGCTGATATTGCAGTTTTTGTTATAATGTTCTGAAATTTGATTGGTTGAAAACGATTGAACTGCTGTAATAATCAAAGACTCTTCGCTATACCATGCGACACGAAACTATCGTAACGAAGAATTTATAGCTCCTTCCAATTTCAACTTTGACTCCACCTTATGGCACTTTATTTCACCGTCCTTGATCCGTTCTGTATGTTCCAGTTCTTCTATCTTCTTTTCCATCTCTTTTATTTTCTCCTCATCGGAAGACATTATTTTCTCCTCAACGGAAGTCATCTTATTTTTCACATCAGCAGAAATTTAATTTTTCAGAGAAGACATTTTGTTTTCCAAGTCGGAAGAAATTGCGGTTTTTAAAGAAGATATGTCAGAAGCTACCTTGTCTTCTAAGGAAGCTACCTTGTCTTCTAAGGAAGAAACTTTACTTTCTAAGGAACTAATATCATTTTTTATAGAGGAAACTTTAGTTTCCAAGGATGTAATGTCAGAAGAAACTTTAGTTTGCATGGAAGAAAATTTACTATATAATGAAGAAATATCGGTTTTCATAGTTGACATTTGACTTTCTAAAGAAAAAATTATAGAAGATGCATCATCCACAAATAGAAATGTTTCCGGATCCAAACCTTCACTTTCCATTGCTTTTTTAAGCCGGTCAGTCAGCTCGGATTTTTCCCTGTCATCTCCAGATCACGATCCTCTAATTCTCGACGCAATTCAGCCACTTTTAAATCACACAGTTTTTTAACTATTATTGTCCACTATTTATTTACAATCCACTTCTAAGACCAATGTGACGATAGTTTAATTTATTTAACACACTATTTACAATTTATTTACAAATTAATTTATATAATACTTAGGCACTAATTCACAATTCTAATTTATTTATTACAATTTAACTTTTCTGTCCAACACTTTATTCGAATCTTCTCGTCCGTCGATAAGTCGCGCTATTTATACCAAATCCAACTCTGTACGAGAAGTTTCTAGACGATGTGGAATGTCCTAGAATTCCATCTCTATGACTCAACGGTAAGTACCTACTGCTTGTTCTGGTAGTTTCTCAAGAAGTGGAGCGTTTGTCTCTATACGTCAGCGGTGTTTCGACCATGAGTCGAGTAGCAGGCTGAAGGTCGCGCTGTACAGGGACGGCTTAGGGATTCCCATGACAGTCAGTTGATTATTTCGACCACATACAAGGTTGTTCCAGGAAAAACTCGAATGTGCCCATATTGGCAGTTACAATGTTGTTCCAGTATAGCATTCAGTTGAAAAATAGTCAGCAAAAAAATTAGTTAGTTTTTTTGTCAGATATTAGTTTGTCATCAACATTGGCTTTATAGATTTTCTTTTGCCATTTATAGGATTTTCGTTTTCTATCAATTTTTGATAATGATCCTTTTTAGTTACATTTATTAACTGAACATAATCTTTTTTTTAGACTTGTAATTTCTTAACAATTCTGAGCTGTCACAAGTTTTAGTAAGCCAATACAAATTTTTAAAATTATTACTTGTATGTATAAGGTTTTTCTTTACCCTTTGCCTTGATGTATTGTTTTTAAAAATTTTTGTTCTGACAAGGGGAAAAGTTACATCAATATGAAATGAATTGAATTGATTTTAAAGAATGTATCAAAAGCATCATCAGTACTGTCTAACTGATACATGGGTGAAAAATCTTCATTATTTAGTTTTGCATTAAGATTTGCTAAGTTTGTAAAAGAAAGATCTCTCAAGTTACTGTTCCATTATTAATTTTGCTTTGTGCACAGGAGATGCCTCCAAGCATAACATCCAAGCCAAAATGATCACCTAGATTAAAATCAACCACAGTTTCAGTATATATAGGAAAATTTGTTAGAAAATAGTCTATTTTAGATTTAGTAATGCGGTTATTTTTATCTATACATACTCGCGTGGCGTCATTATTCTGACAAGTTAGGATAAAACTCTGAATAAGATCAGTAAGGAGATGTTTATTATAAGAATTTGTTAGAAAGTCAATGTTAAAATATCCCCATAAAAATATCATAAAAACAACAACACGATTCAAAATATGACAATTTTTCAATAAAAAGTTCAATATCTCCAGAGGGAGATCTGTAGACGTTTATAATAATAAAGTTCATATTCTTTACAGAAAACGAAATAGCACAGCTTTTGAAATGTATTTCTTCTGACAGGCTATTTATAAAATTTACTGTAATGTAATGTTTTTTGTTATTTATTTAAATAAGTCATCCACCATGAATTTTGTTGCTTCTAACATATGAATGGGAGAAAATGTAATCTTTAAAGTTAATAAAAGGCAATGAGGTATTATTACACCAACATTCAGTTATACAAAGAATGTCAGGATTATAGTGATTCAGTAAAAGTTCAATTCGATTTGTTTTGTTAACAATAGATTGACTATTTATAATTCTAAAATTATTACAGATGATAGCAGCTGACGTACTTGCAAATTTCCTATTATAACAATCTTTATCGTATTTATTTGATTTATTGTGGCTTGACTGATGGCTATTCATGATGGTGGGTGAGGTTTTCCGGGTTTTCCTCACCTGTAAGTCAAATGGCACCATCAATCATCTTTAAGTCGCCCCGGAGCGCCACGGCAAATAATAATAATAGCCGTCCCTTTCCCCGGACAAGCTCAGCTTTTGGGGTTAAAATTCACTCGTAAGGGGGTGAATTAGGGAGAGTATTATTATTATTATTATTATTATTCACATATTTATTTATTAGTCTATTTGGCTCTATAGTCCCTATATTTTTATGATTTCATATTCAAATAAGGTACCTAAAAATTAAAGTATTGTAAAGCATCTCAAAGACAAATATTGAAATAATAATTGTATGATACATTAGTGTTAAGTAGCAATTATGTATTTTAAACATTTTTTTTTGCATAATTTTAATAATACAGTCGCCTAAAGATATTTTTTGTAAGTGGCTCACTGTCCTAAAAAGGTTGCCGACCCCTGATCTACGAGTTTAATAAAAGCTATAGCTAATGAAAAAAAAGTAATGAATCATACCTGACATTCGCAGTATAATTCTTAATCTCTTGAGCTAAGAAATGTACACGAATTATGGCTTTTGTCTGGTGTGGAGGAATTTCCCATAAGTAATTTGAACCTTCTTCTTCCCCACTGGGTAATTCAAGATTGAACCCGCCATTGCTGCTGTGTATTTCAACAATCTAAAAATTTGATTATAACAGTTAAGATATTCTAATTTATGATATTGATAAACTTTACTTGGAGAGGTTCCAAATGTGAATTGTGCAAATAAATTAAAGGTGCAAATGTTGCATTTAATGGCAGTTTTACCCCGACAATGGGGCGTAGCCTGTAGTGGCTAAGAGTGCTGGCACCTCTGACCTGTAAAAGAAACTTATTAACAAATAAATCAAAAATTTTATGTGGATGCACTGTGATAACATATTTTCTTATCTTAAATTAAGCAAATTTTAGCCTTAATTTTTAAATATAGCAAATTATCAAATTATGTTTTTAATAACCTTTTAACTAAGCTAAACTATCAATCTATATTTAATAACTTCTGGAATATCTCTTAACCCTCAAGTAATTAAGTATCTCTTAACACTAGAGTAATTTTAAGTACACCTTATCTCTCAAGAAATTTTTAAATACCTCTTAACTCTCGAGTAATTTTTAAGTACAGCTTAACTCTCAAGTAATTTTTAAGTATCTCTTGATACTTGAACAATGTATAAGTAGCTCTTAACTCTTGGACAATTTTTATTAATATTTGACTGGGTTCATAATTTTGTTATTTCTTATCTTATCCAATCTAGTTAGTCATTCTTCATAGTTTTTAGTATTAAATTCTCGAAAATTTTTGGATACCACTTTCAATTAAATACATTTTTATGGCAGAATGTAATAACTAGACATTAGTAACTCTTATCAATTAGAAGAAAAAAAAAGTAACAATGTAGACTAACCACAAAACTATTCATCAGTCATCAATATCTTATATTTTCTCAAGATGATTTTGTGTCAAATATTTCACAATTTCATATAGGTATGAATTTTTTTTTAATGGGCTCATGTGAAAAAAAAACTATTTTTTGGGGCCAAAAAGCATATTTTAATAATGAGGTATTTTCATACTTTTGTCTACTGTGATGTCTCACAGGAATCAACCGTAGGACCAGCTATGTATCTAGTTTATATTAATGATATAGTCAGATGCAAACATTTCATCAGTAGAAAGGAATGTACTTACTTATGTTACTTTAATATATATCCTATTGAAATATTACATGTTTTTGTGGAACAGATTCTTTAGAATTGGTCAACATGGTTCTTATTCTATGGAATTATAAATAAAACAAAACAACTTAGAATATAAATACAAATAATCAAAAAGTAAGGCTGTAACTACTTTCCTAAAAAACGCCTCAATTAATCGAATGTTTAAACAATTTTATTAACTTTTTATATATCTAATATTTGCTTTTTAATAAATCCTCAAGGAAAAAAGAGACATTACTCACCCTGTCATGAAAAACAGTGTTATAAAATTGAACTGTATTTTTCGATACAGATGTCTTATCAATACTGCTATTTGTATCAGTACTAAATAAAATTAAAGGATCTAAATGGAGCTGTCCCATTGATCTAAAACAAAGACACCGCCAATGAAACTAATCAAACGTAGAGAGGAACATTTACCTTTCTTTAAAATCGAGATAAGTTTTTTCAAAGTTGAGCTGAAATTTCTGTGGTACATGACTAGATTTCCTTGGTAAATCCAATTCCTAAAACATATCATAAGCATAATATATTTCAAACATTTATTTGTATTGTTACCTCGTGTAAATGTAACAAATCATCGTCAAAATATCTCGGGTTTTTGCTAACGAAGCCTACAAATAAAAAAAATGATAATTGGAGATCATGTTGAATGTCATTAAGGAACGTATATAAATAGAAAAAAACTTACCATGACTGCTGTCGTGCAATGTTGGATGGGTTTTAATTATTAATTCCAGTAACGAAAGGATAAAAATATACCACGATGGAGAATTCCTAAACATGTTGACATTTGCAGCAGCATTTATTTATATTTGGTAAAAATTCGACAAGATGCTCTCAAGCTATGTTCGTTTGCAAAAAAATGACATGGTACAATTTTACAGTGTTGTCAACTATATATTTACATTAAAACTAGAATCAACTAAATATAGAAATAAATTCCGACATTGTCAAACTTAGGAATTATAATAAAAAATTACCACGTCATTCATCGTGGTAATTCCTAATTGCCAAAAGAAAATTCAAATGAACTACATTTTATTGTGTAACAAACAATTTTTTTCTTTAATATTTAACAGTTTTTGGGGTCTATTCTGGGTAATGTTGTAGTTGACGGGTCTAGAAATGCGCATATTCACACTACTCTGCACTGACGTCTAGAATTTGATATTTTCGTATTCGTTAATTTACTTCTGTCATTACTTAAACAGATTTCTTTAATGTATTTTAAAGATCCGTTTAAATAATGACAGAAGTAAAGAAGAAAATATTTTTAAAGGCCGTTAAATATAAAGGAATTGTTACAGAATAGACCCCTTATGTTTAACAAAAACCATTTTATTGATTAATTTTTTTAATAACAAAGTAACCAATAAGGTAACTATTTATGTAATCATTTACGAGTTACGAAATACCTTATTTTATGAAACGAGTGAATATTTGCAGGACGAGTAGAGCAAAGTCCCGCAACATGAACGAGTTACATGAAACGGCATTTCGTAACGTGTGTTACATATACACTGAACTATATCGTTACATTGCAATTATTTAGATTTAAAGAGAGTTTATTTTTTTGTCTATTGTATTTTAATTATTTTGTGCCCGATTTAGAATGGAACATGGGGACGAAAACAACATTATTACTATAAATAATATAGGTTGTATAAGTTTATTAATCAATTTCTATTTTTATAAGTCATCCTGCTCTTTGATATAAACTTTCAATAAAAATGTACCAATATTATTGATTTTAAAGCTAAAAAGATTTATTTTTATTTGTTTCATTTTCGCAACTGGTAACATATTAATATAAATTTTTCGAAACCATGTGTATAGTTTCATAATGTTCAACATTATGCAACTGGTTGCATAAAGTAGATCATTTTGACACTTGCTGCGATTACAATAATGTCAAAATTAGAAGAAAAAAAAATTTGCAACAATTGCCGCGTTTGAGAATCCACATCGGATGCATTTTTTACATCTCGAGCGTTTGTTATCCACATCTGTTCCATTACAATAGGTCTTTTCCTTTGCATCGAAAGTGTAGCACTGAGCTACACCACTTCTGAAAATATCGTTCCATTTATACAAATTGTATGGATGGAACAATATTTTCAGAAGTGACGTAGCTCAGTGCTACACTATCGATGCAAAGGAAAAGACCTATTTACATATACTGAATCACGTGATCAAAGATTTTTTACATTTCAGATGCATCCGGGGGGCTATTTTCAAACTCGAGAGAATTCATTTCCATCAAGAGAAATGTCATACGTCAACGTAAAACAGTATTTTTAGGGCTCTTAGGGCCAGTGTGAACTCACTGACTGTTTCTCTCGGTTTATTTAGAGATAATTAAAATTCTCCTAAGAATTTTAATCCTCGATTCCTTTAAATACAGCGTTTCCACATTGACGTATGACATTTCTGATGTGAGAAATGAGTGCTCACATACTTTGAAAATAGGTCCCCTGGGGACCTATTTTCAAAGTATGTGAGCACTCATTTCTCTCAAGATTCTCATCAGAAATGTCATACGTCAATGTGGAAACGCTGTTTTTAAAGGCCTCGAGGATTAAAAATCTTAGGAGGATATTAATTATCTCTAAATAAACCGTGAGAAACAATCAGTGAGTTCACACTGGCCCTTAGGACCCTAAAAATTACTGTTTTACGTTGACGTATGACATTTCTCTCGAGAGAAATGAATTCTCTCGACTTTGAAAATAGCCCCCCAGATGTGGATTCTCAAACGCGGCAAATTTGCTGCTATCTGATTTCAAATTTATTCCACTATCATCACAATCTGAACACAAATCATTTTTTAAATTTGAATTCATCTGAAGACTTCGAAAAACCTTTGGCACCGTCGGAATTTGGTACTGTAGACAGGTTATTTTAATTGTAGCTACAAATTTGATACATAAATTATTTTAATTTATATTTTTAGAAGCCACTCGCCCAAAACGTTCTGCTATTTGATTAATTGTTGAACAAACCAAATTATTTTTATTGGTACGACCACGACTGTTTGCTTTCATAAATCCATAATTCCATGGTTCAAATGAGTTAACGACAATACAAACGGGAGTAAATAGTGTTGCCAAATTAAACCAAAAAGTTAAAATGATACGAAACTGTTTAGCAAATAAATCCAAATGATGCAAATCAAACCTCGATTAACTACTCCATATTTTTTTAACCATAATATTTTTTCTTAATATGTATAAATATATAATGCAGGATCCAGGATCGAAGTTACCATACAGCACCGGGTTAAAATAAGATACCCTCATCAATAGCCAGTAGAACAGAGGTAAAAGTTGGAAATGCTTTTGCCAGTTCTCCCACTTTATACACATAACTTGACAGGTTGTCAGCGAATCTCACCGAAGTGGACACGATACATTGGCGTACAAAATTATTTTATAGATGTTAATAACAATTTCGAGTAAATAGTTTAATAAATTGTGAATAGCTGTTGAAATTTTGTAAAATTATAATTTGAATATTATAATACATGTTTAATAATTATTTATAATCCATAAATACATGCGATTGTCCGGTTCCGCCGATAACAATTTAAAATTACTTATTCTATGAAACGACACTGGCAGGTAAACATTACTGTGAAATTCTCGGAGCCGCCCGACGTGGTTTGACGTTTACCCCCTCTCTACCTACCAAAAGACTTTTCAACTTTTACTTTCTCTATAACATTCAGATTTCAGAGACCAAAGTCGACAGTGGTTTGGATCACAAAACACTTACAACTACCGATGAGGATCCTACTATTGCCGCGTTTGAGAATCCACATCGGATGCATCTGAGATGTAGTAAATCTTTGATCATGTGATTCAGTATATATATATATATATATATATATATATATATATATATATATATATATATATATATATATATATATATATATATACGTATGCCGCGTTTGAGAATCCACATCGGATGCATTTTTTACATCTCGAGCGTTTTTTTATCCACATCGGACACATCTGTCCCATTACATTTACGTATACTGAATCACGTGATCAAAGATTTTTTACATCTCAGATGCATCCGATGTGGATTCTCAAACGCGGCAGTAAATGTAATGGGACAGATGTGTCCGATATGGACACAGAACACTTACTCTGATGTGGATAAAAAACGCTCAAGATGTAAAAAATAGGTATTTTCCTTTGCATCGACAGTGTAGCATTGAGCTACGTCACTTCTGAAAATATTGTTCCATCCATACAATTTGTATAAATGGAACAATATTTTCAGAAGTGGTGTAGCTCAGTGCTACACTTTTGATGCAAAGGAAAATACCTATTGCATCCGATCAGTGTAAGTGTAGTATAGCGCAAGTAAAAGTTGGAAAGGCCTTTGGTAGGTAGAGAGGGGGTAAATGCCAAACCACGTCGGACGGCTTCGAGAATTTCGTAGTAATGTTTTACCTGCCAGTGTCGTTTCATAGAATAAGTAATTTTAAATTGTTACCGGCGGAACTGGATAATCGCATGTATTTATGGACTATAAATAATTATTTTAAACATTTATTATAATATTCAAGTCATAATTTTACAAAATTTCAACAGCTATTCACAATTTATTAAACTATTTACTCGAAATTGTTATTAACATTTATAAAATAACATTGTACGCCAATGTATCACGTATACTTCGGTGAGGTCCTCCGCAAACCTGTCAATTTATGTGTAATAAGTGGGAGAACTGGCAAAAGCCTTTCCAACTTCTACTTGTGCTATAGATGTGTCCGATGTGGATTAAAAAAGGCTCGATGTAAAAAATGCATCGGATGTGGATTTTCAAACGCGGCAGTAAATGTAATGGGACAGGCATATAAAATTGGAAAAATTTTCCATTTAAGATATAAAGGTTGGGTATTATTACCAGTAATTTAATTTCTGTTGATACGACATTCACTTTTAAATCAATCATCATGATTAGTTTTCGTTACCTCTGTTAAGTGAAAGGACACCGTAAGTAGTCCCGGAACGTAATGGAAATAATAAAAAGTTAGTTGCATGGTTGGTGGTAATATTTTTTAAACATCCAAGATAGATATTTTATACTCCCCTAATCAATTTATCGACAAATTATGTGCGGCCACTGATCTGTATCATTACAGATCAGTGTGTGCGGCACATTGCGGTATAGATATTTGGCAACATCGCTCGCCTATCACCTGTCGTCTCTTTAACGTCTTATCAAATGTCACTGTCATTAATGTCAGTTGAAGTGGGAAGTTGGGATTGGAAAGTGGGGTCCTGGGGTTGAAGTGTAAACAGAAACAGCAACATCTTTAAAATTTTATATCTTAGAAAAATAAAATGCTTTATTTGGAGTTTTAGGTTTTTCACTTTTAGATTTAAAACATGGTAATGTATTTTTTATTCAGATGTGCGTTTTAATACATGTATAACAAATTTCAGGGCAACCCAAAGGGAACTAAAAAATATTTAAGTTCTTCAGAAGAATATGTAAGTAAAAATGCTAAATCTAAAAAGAAAAAAAGACTTTACAGTACTTCGAGTTCAGAGGAAGAAATAATATCAAGAAAAAAGAAAAATAAAGGTAAAGCTAAGAAATATAGTAAAGAATACAGCTCTAGCAGCGATTCAGACAGTTTAGACGACAATTACAAACATGAAAGAAAGGAAAAAAGAAAATCTGAATCACCAAAACTAGACATCGACAAATCAAGTTCTAAAGTTGATTCTAAGTTAGAAAGAGACTCTTGGATGAATGTCAAAAGTGGTTTCGCAACAATTTCTAATTCTGGTCGTAAGAATGAACGAGAGGAAGCAAAAAAGTTAGAAAGGGAAAAGCAAAAATATGATCCAAGAAAGTGTGATAGAGAATTAAATCCTTATTGGAAGCATGGTGGAGATGGTTTACCCACGTTTAAAAAACCTGAAGAATCCGATTCTGATACTGAAAAACAAAGTTATAAATCTAGAAACCGGTAAGTAATGAGTAATGTTGCCTCTAGTACTTTAATTCAATAATTGAGGAGTAACTTTTCAAAACGCATTATGTCCACCCGAGGACAAAATTTTCTTTGTTGCTGTTTCGGAATTTATTTTTACTTATATTATACTTCTGTTAAGTCAGAATGAATCAAATAGCGTAATATCCCTATGTAATTTTAGTGCAAAATATGATGTTCACATCAAAACGCATTAGATAAAATATTCTTTTAATTCTAAAAAAAAAAAAAAAAAATTATGGACACAATGAGTTTTGAAAAGTTACTCCTCAATCGATGGGTTGAACATTGGAGTAATTTTAAACATAATAGCTTTTTATTCATTTTCATATTTTCAAATGTAAATTTCGAAATTTGTAAATTTCTAACCACGGATAGGTGAGCAATACAGAAAGAAAAGTAACAGTTGGTGTACCTTGAAGTAGAATGGATATACATTTCTGACCTTCAGTTTCACCATACAGGTACTCTTAGAACACTAATGCATGAGAACATCAACTATTAATTGAAACTACACTGTGAAAATTACATTTATTTCTATTTTACTTTGTATCAAAAAGGTGTGGCTACAGTGGCAAGAGTTGTGGCTGTAGCCCTATGTTTCTTTTCAGTATTGTTAATCTATTCTGTGCCCTAACCTTTAAATTGTCAGTCCTCAGTAGTACTTAACTAGGAAATACCCAGATATTGTAAAATGAATTGCCTGGCTATAAGATATGGCTATAATAGTTAAGTTCTATATGTACAATAAAATTATTTGTTTAATAGTTATACTGGAACATCAAATTGGAGAAAGAAAAAGGAATATTCAGATAACACTTCTATCAGTAAGAATTTAACCAGTTCATCTTCAAATTGGAGAAAAAAGAAAGATACTGAAGAAAAAGATAAAAATAACAGAAAAGATGCATCTAAAATTAAAGAAAAATATGCAAACATTGAAGAAAAACCTGCGAAAATTAAAGAAATTGAAATTCTATATACAGAAAAAGATTTGAACACATTAGCAGCGAAGTTAGTAAAAGCAGAAATCATGGGAAATGCAAAACTGATACAGGAATTAAAAGAAAAGTTAGAAACGGCCAGAAATTCCGTTAATTCCACATCCATAGATCCAGAAGACTATATTCTGACCCAAACTGATGCTAAAGGACAATCAAAACCATTAAAATTGCAAACTGAATATGGAGATTGCAGTAATAGTAGAAAAAAGAAAAGACTAGAAACCCATCAAGGCAAAGAACGAGTAAGATATTTTGCAGACGATGATAAATATTCCCTGAAACAAATGTTCGAAAATGAAAAATACAACACAGGAGCTGATCAAGACAAAGAATTCATAAAAACATTCCAGAAAATACGTAAAAATGACGATTTAGACGATGTATTCTCTGATAACATCAGAAATAAAGAATCTGATTTGAAAATAGATGAAAAAAATAAGAGCAAAGCGATCAGTGATCACCAGAAAGTATCTCACAGCTTGGATAACTGCAATAAGTGTATTCAATCAGAAACTATGTTGAAACACCTGATGATATCTATGGGAGACACTGTATTTTTAGCACTGCCTGCATTTGAACCATTAACTGAAGGCCATTGCTTGATTGTCCCCATCAGACACACCCCTTGTGCCACACATTTAGACGAAAATGAATGGACTGACGTGCTCGATGTTAGAAAATCTTTGGTGAAAATGTTCGCGGTGCAAGATAAAATTGTTATATTCTTCGAATCTGCTATGAATATTCATAAATTCCCCCATATGGCTATCGAATGCATTCCTATTGATAGAGAAGAAGGAGATATGGCGCCGATTTATTTCAAAAAGGCAATTGACGAGTCTGAGATAGAGTGGGCTCAGAATAAAAAACTGGTTTCTTTAAAAGGTAATTGAATTGATTAGAAAATATTTTGCAGTACTAAAACTAATCTTTTTTGTATTTTTATCTGTAGGAAGAGATGTCAGAAAAGCCATACCTAAGGGTTTGTCCTATTTCTCAGTATCTTTCAGGATGGAGGAAGGCTTTGCTCATGTCATTGAAGACGAACAACTATTTCCAAGTAATTTTGCACAGGAAGTCATTGGAGGCATGCTAGATCTCCACCATAGCAAATGGAGGAAACCAAAATACCAAAAATTTGATGAGCAAAGTAAAAGAGTAATGGAATTTTCAGCAAAATGGAAAGATTTTGATTGTTTGGTCAATTATTAAAGTTGAATTTAATATTGTACAACATTGTAAATAAAATAGTATCATTGTAAAAATTAGTTTAATAAACTTAACCTAAAATACTACAATATTGTTAATGAAATTATGGTGGGTTAGTATTTTCTTCTGCAGGCTTTACAACCTTAACAGTAGATGTTTTTTCGACCTCTGGTTGGACTAAATATTCTGGTACAGGTTGAACTTCAACCTAAAAAATAAAACTATTTTCATAGAATTCTATAAATGGTAGAGAAGTTACCTTAGTAGCTTTAAGTGCCACACCTTCAGGCAAATTTCTTTCTAAGTATTCCAAAATAGTATCTGCAGTAGACCCTGTTAGATATTTATACTGTACAAAAGCATAGTAAGTCCTATATTCGTATTGCACCCTGTGTTTCTTATAAATATGAACAGACTTCAGTAATGTGTACCTCTCATGATTAGGTTTAAGTAACGTCCACCTAAAACATTCATTTACAAAAATATAGCTAATATTCATTGTAATAAATGATGAACTTACGATTTTGTACCAACATCTAGATGGTTTCCAGTGGTAACAGCGAATTTGCTAAAGCTTTTTAAAACCGCTGGATCGTTACCTCTTAATTCCAATTCCACGAATTTATACAATTTATCGAGGTCCTCCTGCGCGGCTCCTATTTTCGCTACATTTTGTGTTGAAGTTGAAAAGTTCTTAAATAAATTTGAGGTTAGAATGGGATTGAGAATTTGTCTCAAAGAGTTCTAAAAATAAATATTTGTAAACTGGATGTTTAAATACAATATAGGCCTTAATTTACCATGGTTTAATTATAATTTGTTATTTAATTGTTAGATCTTTTGAAAACAAATCTCTACATTTATTTACACTCACTGTTGCCAAATTGGGCAAATTGCAGACAGTGCTGCCAGATGAAAATTTTCTGGAACAGTAGATGGGTGAAAAAAAAAATAGTAGATCATCGAAACTGAACAGTAGATTTAAATATAGGGGGAAATAATTATAATTTTCAGTACCATAAATAAAAATAAATTAAATAAGAAACGAAAAATAAACATTTTTGGTTTTTATACCAAAATTAAAAGAAGAATAAAATAAATAAAATTTGTAAAACTTAATGTCCGGAGACAAAAAAATCGGATAATTCAAATATGTTGTGTTTGTCACGCATATTCTTATTATTTTTTGTTGCAAATCAACATGATGGTACTCTTTGGAAGTTAAATATTTTTTGTATGGCGCAAAACCTACAATACTGGCTGTATTCAACTTATTACGCTGATTTGACTGCAGCAAATTTACTTGAGAAAATATCCTTTGTACATTTGCTGAAGAACGAGGCAAACGTAATAAAATAAGAACCAAATTTGACAAGTTGGTGAAAACAGTAGATTTCATGCCTAAAACAGTAGAACAGAGACAAAAACAGTAAATCTACTGTTAAAACAGTAGGTCTGGCAATACCGATTGTAAATTGTCAAATGTTGGCAATACTTATTTGTGACTTGACAGCTTTCCAACTTTTGCAAGACCATCAAGTAAAATGTCAGAATAAAAATTATCAAAAAAAATCATATATTATGTTAATAAGCTTCGGCTGCAATTTGTTTCTATATTTTGTAAAAAGTTTTGTGTTACGATAATCGTTATTTAAAAATGAATGCCAGGGGCCTTATTTTGTGGTTAGTTTTTAATGTGTACTTTAAATATGTCTCGTCAAATGAATATAGTACCATCAAGCCTTTAGAAGAAGCTGCTAGAACTAGCAGTGAAAATTACCGAAGTCAATCGTCCTCACTTTTTCAAGGTAAATTAAAATTTTCTATAAAGACGCAAAATTTTAAATTTGGTTTTTTTTGCAGGCAATTTTGATACCTGTAGTGAAGAGGACTTTGCTTGCCTAGCAATGGCGCAAAAAGATAGACTGGGGCTAGAAGCTATTAAGCAATTACATAAACAATTGGATGATGATAAGGATGGAACAATAGATTTATCAGAATCTGATGATGTAAGTATTGAAAATTCCAAATACATTTTAATTTTTAAACCACCTGTTCCTTGTAGTTTCTGAAAGAAGAGTTAAAATACAATTCCGGTGCTGAAAAAAGGCAGAAAAACTTTCATAGAAATGATGATTATCAAATTTCCGTTAAAGAATTGTGGGAAGCTTGGCTAAAGTCAGAGGTGCACAATTGGACTGTAGAGCAAACCACAGATTGGTTGTCAACTTGTGTTGAGCTACCTCAGTATGTACCTACATTTATTGAACACAGGGTCACTGGTGCCAATTTACCAAGGTAAGTAAAAATATTTACTGCTTTTTATTAATTATATTGAGAAAAAGATAATGAATGCAAGCAATTTAATAAATCTGCAAAGGCCGTGTCAACACTTTGATTTAATACATTAAAAACATAAATACAATTTTGATAATAACCCCTTGTAAGCACCTGTTTGTATAGGTTTTTAGTATTAGACTTTTGATTAAGTATGCCTATTTGACAGAACTAGAAGAATAAGAAGAAAAAGAAGAAGGGGGTTTGGCATTAATAAATAAAATATTTATGTGATAATTATTAGGCAGAATTAAGTTTATTTTAGATATTTGTAATAAAATAAAGTTTAAATTTGGTGGTTCCCACCTTATCGAGTCTGTGGCCATACAGGAAATCTTTGTTTTGGAATAAAACTTGATGGGACGTAGTGAGAATGTAAATTTTGTGAAGCATTGGTGTTAGGTTAAACCGAGGGGGTAGTCACTTGAGATTTTTTAGGACAGAAAATCTCCATTTGTGGAGATCTTATTGGATCTCCATGGATATCCTTGGATCTCCATGGATATCCTTGGATATCCTTGGATTTCCATGGATCTCCATGGATATCCTTGGATCTCCATGGATCTTCGTATATCGCCTCCAGACCTCCATAAACATTTCATTCAATTTTGTATGTAATTAGATCTTTGGAAAATATGTGATGTGTCCAACACATGACTTTCCTGTCATACCTTAACTTATGCTTTCTTATCTTTTTCGACTTTTCCTCAGGTATGGGACAAAAATTATAGAGAATGACATCACAAACAACTTTTATTTGAACAATTTTCTTAAAAATATGAATTTTGCACTTTTTGTCAAATTTCTCGAATACGGTCCAATTTAGGGAAATTATGTATAGAACAGAAATTATAGAGAATGACGTCACAAACAACTTTTATTTGAACAATTTTCTTAAAAATTGAAATTTTGCACTTTTTGTCAAATTTCTCGAATGCGGTCCATTTTAGGACAATTATGTATACTCCAAGACAGACAGACAGACAGACAGACAGACAGACAGACAGACAGACAGACAGACAGACAGACAGACAGACAGACAGACAGACAGACAGACAGACAGACAGACAGACAGACAGACAGACAGACAGACAGACAGACAGACAGACAGACAGACAGACAGACAGACAGACAGACAGACAGACAGACAGACAGACAGACAGACAGACAGACAGACAGACAGACAGACAGACAGACAGACAGACAGACAGACAGACAGACAGACAGACAGACAGACAGACAGACAGACAGACAGACAGACAGACAGACAGACAGACAGACAGACATACAGACAGACACACACACACACACACACACACACATACATACATCATCGCGAAAATGGTCAAAACGGATTCAGGGGACCTCAAAACGTAAAAATTCGTCGAAAACTCGAGGTCGAATAAAATCATGATTCCTATAAGTACTTTCTTTCTGTATACAGACAGGAAAGTAAAAACACGTTTTTTGTTGTCAGAAAGTGGTAGAGTAGTTTGATATTACTAATGATTTGTGTCCATTATAATATGACTAAATCACAAACATTTTAGAGTTAGAAAGTATACTATTACGAATGGTATGTAATACTTGACCTAATAATAGTAGATTATGTAGCATGGCAGAACATAGATTATTACCACAGCTTGTGTTATTACTGTCGAAGGACTGAATCGTTAACTAACTCAGATTTATTTCGGTTTTATTATATATATAATGTTTACTCAAAAAAAAAAAATAAAAAAATATATACCTAAGTATAACATCAACTTAGTTTTATTCAAACAAAAAAGTATTAGGTACATAGGTATCATTAGTAATACATCACTTGGTCAAAATAATATTAAAACTTATATACTAAACAAAAGAAACAGTGCAAAAAACACATAATACCTTGTTAGGTATCATAAAATAATAAAAAACAGAGGAACCAAAAGAATATTAAATAATAACAAAAAAACTTATTGTAGAGGAACACTACGTAGAAAAATACTGTAATGATAAAATATTAAATTAAAAAAACAACACAAATACATTTGTTTTTAAACTAATAAACATAAAATAGGTATTCCCAAGATGAAAGGTAACTATTTTCTTTGGAATAAACACGAAAAGAAGTTACCAGTATAAAAGAAACTCGAATAAAACTAAACTGTCTCTAAGACAAATCTGATTTATACTTTTTTTAAAGATTTATGTAAGGTCAATATTTTTAATCTGTCTGACCTTGACAGTTTCATAGGATGGGTACCTAGCATTGTAATGGGCCCATAAATAATTTGAATGGGCTCTATTAGTTGCAGATCATCTTGTTTCGGCCAATAAAAATCTTCAAGGTCTTCTTTCATAAACTTCATTTGTATATTTAGGCTTTCTTGATCTTGATTAACCACCTTTCCAATATACCACATTTTATCATACATGACTGCATAATAGTGCTCGTTTAAAACGTTTATTTTCTTAGTATCACATTCTTCCTCTTTTTCAGAGTTGATGTCTGAGATATCTGTGGAGTCGTTATAAGAAAACAAATTCGAATCTCTTTCAGAGCTCGTTTCAGAACTATATGATTTTTGTCGGGATGTAGAGGGCGAGGTAGAGGGTGCGTTTTTTACTCGTTTTTTTATAATGTGACTCTTTGGTTGCCTCTTTCGTAAGGTTTTTTGTTTTGATTTCAAAATACCACCTCTAACATTAATTTTGTTCTTTCTAGCTCTATTTGTTTTGAATCTTTCTAATCTATCCGTGCTTAATTTAGAATTTTCATTAAAGAACCAACATAGGGACGATTTTTTAAAAGTTTTTATGGACCCATTCTCCTAAACAACTTTAAGGAATCGACTGTTATTGCTTTCAGAAGTCTTTTGGTTTTTGCCGGTGAAGTCTTTTAGTGTTAAGGATCCCTTGTAATGCTCCAGGTATTCTTCGATATCCTCGGACGGTGAATCCGAAGGTGAATCGCTATCACCAAACCGATTTTTTTCATTGTTATCCAGGAAGTTTTGTATATTACAGGAACTATCTTCGTAGTGTTGCACAATATTATCATCTAAATTACAGTCATCAGATTCTTCTTTTAGATCTTTGATTTCGGGCAGGTCAACTATTAAAGTACTACTATATGCGTATGTAACTCCCATACATTCGGCATCGCTTACTGCGTCTTGTTGGGCTTTTAACACCGTCATCTCAATATCTTCGTCGGTCATTGGTTGAAAAGTAGTAGACAGCTGCTCAGTGTCTGTATTAGTTCGGGGAAATGTAAATTGACCCTGCAATTCTGTTTTAACATCTTCTAGGTAATGAATTCGATTTAATCTGTTTAAAATTTCTAGCATACTGTAGTTGACGACTGTAGAATAGGTGCTGGTTATAGATCTGGTAGCTCTAAAAAGCTGTTCGCAGGGTTGACTGCTCATAAGCCATGGTGTAAACATATTTTTAGGTAAACTTTCATCACTAGAAAATTTCTTAATAATTGATATTATCGAGTGGGCATTTATTTCAATGCAAGTGTATGCGTTTAGCGTAATAAAATTGTCCTTTAATGTGTACGAGTCAGATTGCTTAATCCATTGGCGCCATATTCGTAAAATAAACACGGAGTACCAAAGATTGTATAATCTGTTTTCCACTGTCATGTCTTTTTGTAAATATGCCTCCAAAACTTTCTTTATAACAGTTAAGTATAACACAGTTGCATTGCTATCAACAACTTCAGTCTTCAATAATTCAATCACTTTTGTATTACAAATTTTTAGAACGGACGCAAAATTCATTTTATCCTCACAGTCGAGATCTGTCTGTACCAAAAAGTGTAATCCCTTATCAAAATTACATAATAAATATCTTAAGTGCTCGACAGACACAATTTTTTTTCCAAATGGTAACAAAATATTTGGTTTTATTAGCCGGTTTCTTAGCTTTGTACCTATGTGTACTGTGTCTTGCACACATATAATTTCAGGATCAACGGTGGCATGAAACCATGGCCATTTACTAATTTGTTGACTTTTTGGTTGAACTGAAGACAATTTAGACATGTATTTCATAACCTTTAAAAGGCGACTGTCACCATCCGAAGACATTCCAAGAACTGCTATTCCTTGAGCCTTAGCCATAGATATTGTAGTTCTCCATCTTTTGAGAACATCATTCGCATTAAATTTATTATCTGAACCATATAAGCAGTAACAAAATTAAGAACTTCTGTCTTTTAAAGGTTGTGCAACTAGGGCATATGCATAGTTGGCTTTGCTCTCTTCTTCAAATTGTCGTTGTATCTCATGAACTGATGATGCCTGAAACAATATAAGAAATTTTAATATAAACTTGAAAGCTTCATAATTCGGGATTATCTTAAAAGCCTTATTATTTGGATATCCATCTGAGTTCAAGGGTAGTACAAATCCAACATTACTGTTTGTGGCTGGGCAATATTGAATTCTTCCGTTAATTCTAGTGCCATCTTCGCTTAACCATACTAATTTTTGAAGATTCCGTTTTTCCAAATCCTCATGTAGTTCTAGTATTCTTGGTTTGCCCTCTTCAAAAGTTGGATGTTGACTAAATTCTCTTAGTACTGTTGATATAGAGGGTAGGGCTCCTTTTAAATTTGAAATCAAAGTTTCGTATAGTCCCAGACAGCACACCAAATCCTTTGGATATCTAATGAACATCCCAATATCCACTGAATGTCCAGTCCATGGTGGATATCTATTTTATATCCATGAAATGTAATTTATAGACATGCAAATGTCCATAAATAATAGTAATTATATAGCAAATTATTAAAAAATTACGCCATTGTGCTCGCCATTGTGGCTAATAGTACCGTTCAGATATTTAAAATTAATTTTTTTAAGGTGTATTCTATATCCCATGGACATCCACTATAAATATAAATATATCAAAGTCTAAGCGCGGACGCAAACCATCGTGGATATCTACTAGATGTAATTTTT